TCGCATTCAACATCAGGGCCGAGAGATTAAAGAGCCTGGGACGTCAGCATTTGCTTTTACATCATTGAAGTACCGAAATTACATCGTAAGAGAGAAAAAAGAAGAAAAGCAATAGAAAGCCCAGTACATACTAAATGTCTTGCGCAAACAGGCGTAGAGTCTGCGAGAACCAGCAACAAAAATCGCAGCATACCCGGGGGCGGCCCCGTGGTGTCATGCATGATTTGCTCCTTCGGATATCTCGCACTTTGCCCAGAATACCCACAAGCACTTGTATCCGTAGTTGGGCTGATGGGGTTACCTCGAATCATCAACAACCATGTACGGGATGGTGTTTGCAGATCTCACTGGAGCAGAAAATGGGCGGAGACGCAGCTACGGCTTCGAGATTCAAGCTTTCGGTGGTTGAAAAGTGGTTAGACTGAGCCCAGAGCCGGGCCATTGGGAACCAAAGTCCCTTTTCAAGCACCTTCATGCGCTGCTGCGCGTGGCAATCGGGGATGGCTTGGGCCACTGCGGGCGAGAACTTTGGGAAAGGTAGTTGGGCTGATTCCCTGGATTGACGGAAAGGCTCGATGACGTCCCAATTGCTGTAGCTATGTGTGGGTGAGCGATGGAGGTGATGATGCGATGTGGAAGATGTTACCGCCCCCAATGCCTGTGATATCGATTCTCAAATATGGAGCCGAATCATGCTTCAAATTAACTGGCAGTCAGTCTACAGAGCAGAGGCGGACAGTGGACATGGACAAAGCAAGGGTAGATCCGCGACAGCCCGGTACATCGTTCGCAAAATTCACTTAGCCCTGAATTGTCGAAATAAGAATGAAATATCCGTACTCTTTAGAATTCAGTTTTGGCCCCGAAGACCTCCGGAAGTACGGGCCCTACGGAGCACGGATACGAACAATTCAGCGAGTCTCAAGTCTCAACGGCGGCCGACCCCTGTCCTCTTCTGACGGAGGCTGCAGCCGAGATTTGTCAATTCGAAATTTGGCTGTCACTTTACCGGGGGCTGGGGCTGCAATCCTTCTGCCTGGAGGATTTGCTTCAGGCCTTACTCCGTACAGGTGGCTCCATCTTGAACACGACGTCAACTCCGCGCTGGAAGAGGGTTCTGGGTAGGAAGTGAGGAGATGCTTCTTCGTTTTAGCGTTGTTGGCTGTTGCCTTGGTAAAGTAGACAAGTGGAGAGTATGAAAAGTGAATGTCGACATCTGTTTAAGCATGTCGGATGTGAACTCCGTTGAACGGTGGACTCGCTGGGGTTTGCAGGGTTGGCCTCCATTGTTCAGGTCTGTCGTGTGGTTTCTGAGGAATCGACTGCTGGGTTCTCGTATGTGACTACAACCCCATCATTCTTGGTATTTGAACTTCCCGAGCACCTGGAATCAATACATCTTCCGATCTGATGGGTTGAGGAGGAGGTCTCGTTGGCCGTGAGCAACTCGACCTCAAAGCTGGCGATGAAACTCTGTAATATGCTGTGATTGACCAGTTTGCCGCGCAGACTGCGTTGGCAGCCGGGCCATTTATAGCGAGTGCCTCAAGCGGCAATTTCGCAGCGATCAGTGGCTTAGACTAGGCCAGGGCTTCCCCTCAGGAAGTATGGGCTTGGCGGCTACCGTTACATCTTTCTGCAGCCCTGATACGAGTCTGTCGAAAGCATGAGTTGATGAGGCCGTTCCTACATGAGATGGCAGGGTGCCATTGGCAGCTCAGCTCTACTGCGACTGTGTCAGTAAGAGACTGAGAGCCAGGGAGAGAGGCAAAGTTCCAAATCTCACTTGCATCTCGCTGGCCCTGCCATCTCAACCTCCCCAAGTGCACGGCCGCTGGCAGAGTTATTCGACCGCCTTAATGGGCTGCCTAGGCTTACTAGATCATCTTCTTGTCGCCCTTCCGCACCCCTAGCTAGCGGGCGCAACAGCGCCAAGGATCATGACCTTGCCCGCTGGACACCATCTCGTTGCCTACGAGCTTTGATGGGGGATCCATTAACACAGCTTGCAGCTTTTGATGCTGCTATTCCCATTGGGGAAGTGTTATTCGATATGGAGTGCTCGATTCGAGTAAAGAGAAAACCAAAGTCCCTATTCCCAAGCCCACGAGCGTCAATGGTGCTGCCCGCTCATAGTGGGACGGGCAAGGGTGAGGAACATGACTTGATTCTTGCTTTTCTCCAACAGGTCGATCATTCAACACGGTCTACGGAGCCTTGGAGGATCACTTGCCCTGTGCGTCTCCCCTGCTCTTGAAGGTTGATGAATGCAATGAAGGATGGACCTGGGCTTTAATAATCTGCTTGCTGCTGGTCCTTCTCTTCTGGGTGTTGTAAGTGTATATCTTGGCTGCCACCCCTCCGAACCAGCTCGAGATGTGGTCCTTCAGAAATTTTGCCTTCTGAATTTATGCCCTTTCACTACATCGTCACGTTCAACTTGGCACTCTTGATCTCAGTCATTACTTAATACACAAAGCATCTATCCATCGAGTCGATTAGTGGTGGACATAGACGAGGGGCGTATCACATCATTCCATTCAACAATGCCATCAAGTTCACCGGAAAGACACTTGGTCGCACCGGACAACAGCAACATCGCCTCCAGACAGGCATCCCAAGACTCGGACCGCGAAGTAAAATACCAGACAGGATTGATGCCCGCCGAATATGCGGGCCTCGAGGTGGCCTCGCCCTCACCGGGCATGAAGTACTACCAGCCTGCGCCGGGCGCCGCCCCCGAACCGGTACCGGCACCTGTCCCAGGCGGATACGCGCCGTACCAAGATCAAGATCAGCACAACGGCTCCGGGTACGAAAGCCACCAGTACCCCGCACATTCAACGGCCGGAACGGGGTACGGCGGAAGCCAAGCGGGGATACCGCCAAAGAAGAATAAGAGGATATGGGGCATCCCGGTGGCGACGTTTTGGGTAGCTATCGTCGCGTTGGTCTTCTTTCTGGGGACGATTGGGGCGTCTGCTGCAGCGGGAACGATCGCACAGGCGCATGCGGCGTATGTGCAGACGTGCCAAGCGTAAGTGAACATGAGCAGCCAAATTTTGGAAGCAACAGAGTCTGACACCAGAGCAGCAAACTCGAGCAATCATCATCTCCATCAGCGTGCGCTTCTAGCGGATCATCAGCAGCATCCGCATCGGCATCAGCTCCGGGAGCCTCAGCACTCTCAGCATCCGCCTCAGCAACAGCATCATCAGCATCCTCCACTTCGACCTCACTCGCCTATATCCCGCTCCCAGGCCAAGCCTCCTCGATCCTAGGCGAAGCGACAACGAATTGCCCCGATCTTAGTTCAGAGAACAAGACGTATACAGTGCCGAACTCGAATCTGCGCTTCGTGCGCGAGTGCGGCAACAATTACCCCATGAACGACCTGGGCCACATCCCGCTGACGAGGATGGAAGACTGCATGAATCTGTGCGCGGCACTTGCTGTCACGACGCAGAGCGCTGATGGGCCATGTGTGGGTGTGGCGTGGGTTACGGCGGGGAAGCAGGGGACGGATGAGAATTATTGCTGGTTGAAGAGTGCCAAGGGGGCGCCGGATCCGAAGGCGAATATTGAAGCTGCGTGGCTTGTGAGGACATGAGAGAGGTGCGAGGCGGTGATGAGTTAATCTTGGGAGTGAGATGAGCGAAATGTGATAAGAATGAGATGAGAATGAGATGGGATGGGATGGGACACTTCTGAGCGGCGTTGTCGTCGGCATACTCTAATACCACGATTATCATATTCATCTCTGGTAATTAATACTACCCCGATACTTTGAATGAAAATCAATGTTAGATACTTGTAAGTGGATAGACTGAGTTGAGCAGATGCTTCCAGGCTTGAAGATTTCACGATACCAATCAATCATACTTTGACTACGCTCGAAAAGATGGCGGCTGCATTTGAGCGTGCGGAGGCTGGGCGAAGTCGGGTTCTCTTTGTATTTCATGTGACGACCTGACATTGCGCTCATAGCAAAAACACGGCTTCAGTCTTCCACAATCCATTTCGAGCCGAGAGGAGACCGCTCATGAAGACATCTCGGATGCGCCGGTCTTAACTCCGGTCAGTCGGGACCAGTGGCCGGGCCCTATTCCGTACATAGTATTCCGTAGTGAGTTTGGCGTTGTTTTACGTGGTCGCACCGTGATTAAAGGGAGAGAGAGCACGGTTAATTAAGGTTTCCGTCAGGGGATCAGAGGGAACGACCTCACCAGACGCGTCCATCCTTATGGATGCTTAGGTAGCGACGCGACTCAACTTATCTGACATAGTTTCAACGAGCATTTCATCAATCAGCTTCATCGAAACAAACCTGGCCTGAGAAGCTTGCCATCTCGCAAATTCTCTGAGTCATACACCTGATCTTCAAACTGTCAAACACCCAGCCAACCCCTGTTGGTATTCTTACGACGCGTGCGCGCTCACCTACTGTGAAAACTCATCGTGGGGCCACGCCGCTGAAGCTCCCATCACTTTGCCACATCCCCTTGACTTCAACAATTTTCATCACCAAAGCTGGCCACCAAGCTCGATATATGATTTGTTTGTCTCTCATACGACTTGGGCAGTATCGATAATCACCTCTCTACGTACTCATTGCTACTCAATCATCGAGCTGCCTACACTACAATTGCCCGCCCTTCCCGAAGCGCCACCCAAGCAACATCGCGCTACCACACCTTTGTGCATATTCAAAGACTCGCAAGGTCTCTGCGCTTGGTTCACTATGGCTTCCAAGAAACCCGGCAAAAGCCGCGAGGTCAACTGCAATGGTTAAACCTCGAGCGGCGGTCAGGGTAAAGTTAGCGGCAAAGGTGTCACTAAAAGCAAGGGCAAGGACCGACGCAATGAATTCAGGAGATATGAGAACGATCGCAAAGTCTCCGGAGGGACTTGAATACTAGCTAGCCGAGGAGAGACGGAAAGAAGGGGAAGCGAAGAAGGAGGCGGAACAACAGGCTAAGGATTCGCGAATACAAGATGAGATGGAATACGCGCAGCTTGTTCATCAATGGCACTCGACGGAGGCCGAACGCGGCAAGTTCGCGTTCCAAAAGTGTCTCAACCTCGGCCGACAAGCAGTCGATTCAGCATCTCTACCTACATACTCACTTGAGACTCCCGTATGTTTCTCGCTTTGGTCGACCAACATGTGCCAGGACTGGGGTCTTGTCGACATCCCCAACGGTGTTCTCTGTCTCGAATGCGACCACCTCGCCACGTTTCAAGCCGGCGGGTAGATGTGTAGAGGCACCATCAATTGGAATAAACGGCCGCTGAAGATCATGATGTTGCCATTTCCATATCCGGACGTGGCATATTCCCCCAAGTCGCAGGAAGTCTTTTCTCTTGCTTGCGCGGACGGCGCGGCTCTGGGCGGAATCCGCGATGAGCACTGTACAGCATACATCTGTATCTACGACAGGGAACGATTGAGGTTGACCCTGCACAGGGAACTCATCAACCCGCCTGGCTTCACCAGCAGATGGAAGAATCCTCACCATTTCACCACGGGATGGGCCAATATTTGGGGTCTAAGGAAAGAGGCAGGCCAGGTCCAGAGCGCCCTGTCAGCCACGCCCAGCATTTTCAGGGGTCAACCCTCTGAACCATTGGAAAACGAGAACAGCTTTCCGTCCGGCAGCACTGGCCTTCGAAACGTGAAAACGGATCACTTCGAAGAAGATCAAGTTTATGTTGGCGAAGAGGACCAGGTTCTTGTTAAAGATGAACCAGACTCTTGTTGACGAAGAAAACCATATTTCATTCCATGAAGTAGATCATGTCCCTGTTGGCAGAGGGGACAAGGTTCTTGTTGACGAGGAAGACCACATTTTATTCCATGAAGATCATCAGGTCTTTATTGATGAAGAAAGGGAGCAAGGGGAGAAGAAGAAGGAGGAGGAGGGAGGGTATGAAGAGGACAGCCATGAAGAAAGTTATCAAAAGGGCTATGAGGAAGATTATGAAGAGGAAGATTACGAAGAAGACGAGGATGACCCTGATGCGAAAGAGACTGATTCAGACTATGGGAATGAGCCGTACGATCTCGATGATATGAAATCTTGCCTCAAGGAACCGCCAATACAACGCCTAGGTGTGCCCGGATCCCCCGCCGCTTCTAACGTGGTGAGCTGGGGTGAGCATGGGTGAGCGGGGTGAGTGGGTAAGGAATCGGGTTATGGGAACGAGGTCACTGTCATCGACAGTTAGATGATTACTAGCTTTCCGTAACGATTGTATGCCTGGGTAATGGTTTTTAGTACTGTGAAGTACGGCTTTACCAAATGAAGTTAAAGAGCTGTATGGGACTGCGGAGGCGCAGTCCTCTCGCCCAATGAAGTCCTAACACAACCTTGATTATGAGACTACTTGCTAGGCAGCAGCGCGGCGGTCAACGTTGCCTACACAATGTATCGTTCAGGGTGCCTGTTCAATTTGAAGTCAGCATTGGCAAGTCTTTGAGCGATCTTCAAACATCCACCGTCGAGACGATGTTCCTGCACTTTCCGGATCGCCAGACCTCCATCGAGGACACGATAAAAGCGATGGGCGCTGCTCTGAACCAGGGAAAGTTCAAGAACTACGGCCTATCGAACTACTCTACCGCCGAGGTGCAGAAGGTTCTAGGGATCTGCGAGAAAAATGGGTACACCAAGCCCAGTGTGTACGAGGGGCATTATAAGCTATTGCGCGAGGAGTTGAGAAGGAGCTGTTTCCCCTATTGTGCAAGCATAACATGACATTTTATGTATACAGGTAAGTCAACATACCCACTTCCTGGCACCCCCCTGTTTCTGGCACCCACAAAAACGCGAAAATCCACCACAACCCAATGCCCACCCCCAACCTCCTTTTATCACAACATTTTCAATTCGCGTCCAAATGGGCTCATCTTTTGCACATGTCTTCTTCTATATATAATGCCTCAATATACCGAAGATCAGCTTCGTCAGGCTCTCGAGGA